AACCTATATACATATATAATGTATAATAATTGAAATTTGACTGTATTTCACAAAATACTAGTCCACTAAAACACAGCTAAGACAGGTTACTGTGTAAAGACCAAAAGTCAGTTTTATGTTATTGGATACGGTATCATGAGTGCACGTGTGCCGTGTGATTGTAACATCAGTATTGTTAGCCAGGCATGGCTGAAAGGTCAATATAATAAAAATAATAAATATATATATAAATGTATAAAGTTATGAAATTTAAGCTATTTAGTCTAAACATCTATGTTTTCGTGTTAGAATTTGTGTTCATTCTCGAATGAAAGAAGCATAATTTATATTTATTTCCTAATTTTTTATGGTGGTTACAGGATCGGTCAAATCTACTGAACCCATACAGAGATTTGTTAGTGTAAATAACAGATAAAATATAAAACATTTTCTTGAGAAACATTTGATAACTATCTGGATGTTATAAAGATTTCACATGTGAAATTTGAAAATTTTCTGATGCATAAAAGTATTTTTAATCTTAAAATGAAAATTACTTTGCATGTTTGATAGAGGAGAGTCTTAAACCTCTTTAAATTTTACTACCTATTAAAATATCAATAAATAATTTCAAAATATAGCTGTACACAAAACTTAATACCTAATAACTGTTAATTTGTTATCTCATTCCAAAATAATTGGTGAGAGCTGTTGTGGATGAAAATAATACAAAATGAAGGAGACTAAGAAAAGAAAGAATAATACCAGTTGGAAGATCAGAGCAAAAGAAACTGTATAGGAATATGATTTTCTGTCTGAGAGACAGAATAGTTGGAAAAAAATATTACAAATACATTAAGAACAAAGAAGATATTATAAAGAAGAAAATAAAAGTAAAATAGAAGTTTTAAAAGAGTCAAATATACAGAGTGTCTTAAAATGTGTTCAGACAAATGAAAAAATATATAATGAATGACTATAGACATAAGGAGTATGTATGTATGTATGATATGTGTATGCAAGTTGAACAGTTGTTAAAATAAAGGTTAATACTGGACTATGCCTATAAATATGGACCTTCGAGACACCATATATAACTAGTCCAAGGAGTGGGTAAACAATGGAGAATTGGAAAATGCTTGCAGAAAAAGTAGGGAGAAATTGGTCGAAAGGAAGAGGTGAGAGGACAAAGAGAAAAATATGAAAGTGACAATAAGTTTTATCTAACTCATATAAGACAGATTTTATTTATTTATTATCATAGATTTAGTTGAAAGTTTTATTAGTATGTGTAATATTATATGGAAATCCTGTTCTACTTAGTACTTTGTGTTTAGTGATTAAAATTTGAAACAAGGTGTTGTAATTCTCACTTTCTTTCACTCTGTTAAACAGTTAAACATTCTATTAAACAGTTAAAGCTTGTTGAAAAAATGGTGAATTGACTTATCAATAGAACTTTCTGTTTGGCATTGAAAACTGTTTACATTGGATTGTTTTTATATTTTTAAGGATTTTATTTATTTATGGTTGATTTTTAAATGGTGACATTTTTTTGTATAATACTGTATCATTGGAATATGGCTAGAAATATTTGAGATTGTAAATTGTAATGATATTCTTATTGTGAAACTTATGATTACAATACTTCTGTTCCACAGTTGCTGAAAGGCGTCACAATTGCATCTGGAGGAGTTTTACCAAAAATTCACCCTGAGCTTCTGGCAAAGAAGAAAGGTGGCAAGTTTGTCATGGTTGCAACACCACACTCTCCTGGTTCTACAGCTTCTTCTTCTGGTGTCATTGCTTCAAAAAAGCCAAAAATAACTCCAAAAAAAGGTCCTGGAAGTCCTGGCAAAGGAAAGGGAAAAGGCAAAGGAAAGGTAAATGACCGTCATAAAGATTTTATCATAAATAATAAGCTTAAGACAGAAGTATTTCCTCTTCACAGGTTTAGAGTATGTAGTTATGTAAAGCAGTTCAAATACTCATTCAGCATCATCCATATTGCTACCTGCAGGATATTCCATATTACCTTCTATGGCATCATCCTTATTATCTCCTGCAGCATCGTCCATATTACCTCCTGCAGCATCGTCCATATTACCTCCTGCGGTATCATTCATATTATGTCCTGCGGCATCATCCATATTACCTTTACACAGCATCATCCATATTACCTTTACACAGCATCTTCAATATTACCTTTACACAGCATCTTC